TTATTTATATATATAAAATAATAAATAATAATAGTAATAGTAATGATATATATAAATATATAAAAGTAATATATGATTAAACAATGTTTAAAATAAATGAAATTAAAACATAGTATTAAAATGTAAAAAGTAATAAAGCTTGTAAAATAAATGAAAATATTAAGTTTAGGAACTAAATTATAATCTAATAAAATTAAATACCCAATTTGTAATTAATTATTTGAAATTATAGGGATTAGACATACTATTTTTCATTTATTTAATTTAGTGACTAAATTATAATTATATTAAATTCGAATATTAAATTAAAACAAATTAAAACATACTTTCTGGATTAAAATATTAATTATTAAAATTAAAGGACTAAATCCATCATTTACCTAAAATATTTATATAAACATATTAATGACTAAATTATAAAGTAAATAAAATTAGAAGACCAAATTAAAACGTTTAGAATTTGATTTCAGTGACTAAAAATGGAATGTTACAAAGCTAATGGACTGCAGACGGGATTTGGCCAAACAATAAATTACGGATATACCCCTCCCCAAAACGGCGTCGTTTGGAAAGGGGTATAAATTCCCCAGACGGCTGGCCCGAAGGGCCAGTATTCTCATTTCTCTTCTTTCTCTTCTCTCTCTATCTGAGAGAGAAGAAAACTCTTTCGCCTCTCTCTAGGATTCCCTCACCGGAGGGAATCTGGCGTCGATCACCGTCGTCGATATCGCCGCCGGCCACTGTCACCGGTGGTCGGAAAACACCAAAATTTCTTAAAACGTAGATCGGACCGTCCTAAAGACGATTACAGTGTCATTTTTTCTTAAATAGCTACCGATCAGAGCAAATCTAGGAAAATACCTTCGGTTTTCGAAGGTTTTGATGGCGTGTCGAGATTGGTATGAACTCCGGTGAAGGCGTGGCTTCCTCGATAAGTATCTCTCTGTCTTTTCCTTGTTATTCGTGGATGCTGGGTTACTTTCTTTTCTCTCTGTGTGTTCTCCTCTGTCGTGCCTCCTTCTGTTTGCAGGTGGTCGATGGCTTTTATAGCCATCGACGGTGTGGCTCTCGGACCGGTTAATAAGGTGGCCGCTTGGTGAGTCACCAAACTTCCAGTGGTGACTCACTGTTGAGCTACGTGTGCGGCTGGAATGGATCTTCTAGAAACTTTGACGGGGCATCGTGGCAGCGACGGAGCGACGTGGAGCGGCTGGAAGTAGAAATGACGCCGCGTGGTCCCTAGGGTATCATCATCCTAGAGTTTATTCTGGATGCGTATGGGCCGTTGGATCTCTCAGATCCAATGGCTGTGATGCTGAGGCGGCTAGAGTACTGAGATGGAAACTCTAATATGATTTTAGGGTTTAACTGGGCCACCATGTCTTGTCGATGTTGGGCCTGATGTATATGGATTGGGCTCGTAATATATTTGGGCCTATAATATGTAGTAATATTTATTAATAATAAAATAATAATAATAATAATTATAATTATAATAATAATTATTATATATATAATATTCAAATAAAAAAATGAGTATCTTCACTGGTCATTGCAAAGGGAAAAGGCCATCCACATTCTTCACCACACCCGTTACTGCTACGGGGACCCTCAGCTTCCCTATCATCATTTATTTATGATGGCTTCTGCTCACGCCTTTGCACTTTCATCTTATATACTGTTTTTTTTCACCCAAAAAAGAGTTAGGTATGCTTCATCATTTGACTCATATGTGGCTTTTTGCTAAACTGTCTCAACAAACTAATGGTCATAATTTAACACAAAACATTGAAAATCAGTGGGAACCTTTTTCATTACAAAAGAATGTTATTAAGTAGTGTTTGGCCCAAATTAAGCAAAAAACACAAGTAATTAAATAAATGGGGGAAGCAACTAAAGAGGAGGCTGGTATAAGTAAATTAATTTATGTCCAATCGAGTGTTTGATGTAAAGGCTCACCAGTAGATGAAGTTGAATGGTACAACGTAATAATGAGGAGGCAACTGTCCCTTGAAAAGAATGAAGAATGGTTGAAAAGGGCCTTTGGTCCGTATAATGTAATTAATCACCTAATTAATGGCATTGGAGTGATATTGCACTTTGTAAAAAGAAAAGAAAAAATAGATTCACTGTCGATTTAAAAGTCATACCTACGTTATCGATAGATTAAAAATTTTAAATATATTATTTTATAATTATTAAAAAATAGACCTGTACGTTTTTATGTGGATCCAAGTAGAATAAGAAGATGAAAGCTAATTAAAAAAATCAATGAAGATATGATAAAATAATATGGCTGAGGAGTTTGCACTTTAGTACTCCAATCATTCAATTAATTAATTAATTATATAGTTCAAATTGTTTGATTTACCTCAGTTTATTTAAAATAATGTATTTATTTTCTTTACGATGGATGGCATTATTCACTTTCATTTTTATAATTTACATATACAAATAATGAAAACTAATTGATCTGAATTTAAATAGTTACATTGATAAATGGGAAATAAACTCTGAAAATTTTGAAGGCATTTACGAGCATGATCTTGGGTTGGTAAAGCCTAAATGTAGTAGGAGTTAGGTAGATTCTAAAGCTATAAAAATAGTGATATAAGTCAGTGTCCATTAATTAAAATTCCATATTCGGTGTAGAAATGCAATCCAATAGTGCCAGCATGAACAAACATTTCCACTATTATTCTTACAACCGCCCTTGATTTCGCATTTCTACTTTTTTGAATAATGCAAACCCATCACAGGTTGCTATCATCTATTTCCTTGGAATTTAAGGCACTCAAAATTACTTTTCTCTTCAAAATTTTTAAGTTGAAAGTTTTTTTTTTTAATTTTTCGATCATCATATTTTTAATGAATTACTATCTAATTTATAAGAAATGAAACATCATCAAATGATATTTTTTGATATATCTGGCTGTTCAATTATTCTTAACCAATTAATATCGGATGCTCGTATCCTACTAGTGTTTGAACATGTGACCTCTATTCTTTGACCAATATTTATTTATTTTTCTTATCTCTACATTTTTCACTAATTCACTTCATTATCTCGTTAATCTGAATTAATTATAAGATAATATATATTCAGAGATAACTCTCAATCATTTGATATTGAACGCTTATACTCTTGATATTGCCAACATTTGAATCCAAAACTTCAAGGAATAACAATAATTTATTTACCACCAAAATCACTTGTGAATACAAATTTATTAACATTTAAATTAATTAAGTTGAAGCGAGATTATAAAATAAAGTAAATATCCATTGAAAAATAGCCACGTATGCCGTATGAAACCTCTCGACGACACGTGTCGAATTTCATCGTATTACAACAAACGACGAAGCTATAACTTATTCCATAGGATCCATATCCGATCCGAAGGGTAACGAACACAAAAAAAGCGTGTGACTTCAAAAAGACAACGAAGCAACACTAGGACAGTGGCAAGAGAAAATAAATGAGACAAAAAAACAAAGGGTAAAACGGGAAAGCCAAAAATGGCGTACTTTAACTTAAAGGAGAAGGTACCACCCTGTATGACAGTCTCCCTGCTTTTATTTTTTATAGCAACTTAAAACAATCAATGAAATAGCAAAATGAGAAAATATTAGCAGAGGAAGGATAAAAAGATTGACCAGTTCCTCCGACTCTGGAAGCTGGATCTCCTTCACAACTAAATATCTAAATTATTACTTTCCCTTCATTTTAAAATTATATTTTTTTTAAAATTATATTTAACGTTTAATTTATATTTTAATTTAATACTATATCAATACAAAATAATAGAATTATTGATATGATATATTTTTATTCTATCAATGATGATGTAATATTATTTTATGATGTCATGTTAGTATCACCGTTAAATTTTTAATTGTAGAGTACTAAAATAAAACTTAAATTAAATTTTAGGTATGATTTTAAGAAAATAAAATTTATGTATCAAAATAGAATAAAAATAATAATTTAGATATTAAATATATAATTTATTTTACATATAATATAAAGATATAATTAACTTACACAATATAACTTTTTTTAGTTTTACGTAAATATAAGACATTTAAATGAATAAAAATAAGTAATCGAGATTAACAATAATAAATAAGAAGATATTCATTGAAATAAAAACAAAAAAATAATTTTAAACTTATATTTTTACTCATTTAACAAGCATAAATATATAAAAATATTTTTTACTTATGCTATCTTATATATATATATATTAATGTTTACCATAGTTTAAGGAGTTAATATAAAAAAGTGTATAAATTATATCATTTTTTATTAAATATCTAAATTTTTTCAGTCAATATAGATGTTTAATATTATAAAATTATTATTTTAAATATTTCAACCGTAACAATCGTTAAAAAACTTCGTTAAATAATATGTGACATGTTTATATATTTTTTAAATCCGTTAAAAAGACATGCGACCCCAATGATAATGGTTGTCAAAAAGGAGAGATTAAGATTAGAGATATCAGGAATTTGGATTTTTTTTTAATTTTAAAGGAAATAAATTTTATTAATATATAATAATTTATTTTTAATTTTTTAAAATAAAATGTTCAAAATTATTAGAATACGGTATGTGTCATATTATCGTTCGAAACACTTAAAATAATAATAATAATAATAATATTTATAACGCTAAATACTTGAATTAACAAAAAATAATAATTTAAACATTTAAATAGAAAAATGGGTACAATTTAACTACTATATTTTTATATTAAGCATAGTTTAATAGAGAGAGAGAGGCTCATCGAGATTTGCGTCGAGTGGTAAAGGAGAGAGAAAGATCTTTTTGATATATTCTGCGGATCGGGCAGATTTAATACTAGTGATTTCGACCCCGAAAAAAGATGATGAAGAAATCTCTGATATTAAAAGCAAAGGCGGCGAGAATTTATTGATATGATGGAGTTGATATAAAATAACCCCATCATTTATGTACATGACTCCTTAGTTTTTAGCTCGTCTGTTACCACTCTCGCCTTTCTTCGTTACTTGTTGCTTGCTTTTGTTCTTCGTCTTCCATTTATAACTGTCCATAAATTCTCTCTTTCTTACGCCACAACTTTGTTTTGCTGCTTCTTTTCTGTTTTTTTTTTTACTTCTGTTCGGGATTCTGGACCTTTCCGGAATGTATTTTTATGGGTTCTCGTTTGGCTAGTGAGATTTTTTAAGGGTCATCCATGTTATCGTGAAGTGTGTGAACAGGGAAAATGGACTGAGAGCAGCGTACGTGTTCGAAGAAAGTTTGAATAGGATAAGGTACTAGGGTTCATCGTCTTGGTCAAATGTTTTATTAATTCTCTCTCCTTGGCTTCTTGCTGTCTACTTCGCTTGTTTTGTTTTCATTTTTAGAATTTCAGTGTATTGAACAAGATGGAGATATATATTTCCTTTTTTGGACTATAAAATTTCTTTTTGAACCTCGGTTTCTGGTCTGGTTTGGTTTTACTCACCTGAGAGAGAAGCATAGAAAGAAAGAAAAACTGTCGTTGGTACATGGTATCATTTATTGGCATCTCACAAATCACAATCACAAGCAACTTGGGCGAATCTCCTTGAATTTGTTTGAAGAGTGTTCTCCTGTTGTTTTTCATCTTTTGTAAGGTCTATTTACGAGGAAAAAAGAACAAGATGAAGTTTATGAAGCTTGGCTCAAAACCTGACACCTTCCAAGCTGATGGAAAATGCATCCGGTAAGATAGGTTTCACTACTCACACATTCTTCTCTTCTGCATAAAAATGCAATACAAAATACAATACCAGTGCTTCTGCCTCTCATTTTGTATTCCGTTGGGCTTTCTTATATTTTTCATATTAGTCTGTACAGTTTCCGAGCTGGAATCTCATCAGCTCTAGTTTCTATTTTTATTTTTCTGGATATGCATATCTTATTATAATTTGTATTACTTCTGTTCTGTATGACTTTTTTTTTAAACTTAGCTTTAGAAAAAAAGATAACTTTTTGCGGTTAATCATTCCATTGGAAAAAAAGTTAGAACTTTAACCTGTAATTTTTTCTCTCTTGATTCTGCTTTGGCTTGGTGACAGATTAACCACATGGGTGTTTTCATTACAATTATTATTCTTTTATTGTTTGGTTTTGTGGGGGGGAAGAGAACTGGAGAGTGAAAAAAAGAGATGAGCATCTTGGAGGTGGTCCAGCTGTTGAACATGTCCTTTTTATTTTTTTTTTCATTGAGTTAGTGGTCCAAATGTGGGAAAAGCATGTTGGGGTTGCAGGCCTTTTAATCATCGTGTTGTAAGAATCTCTTTTGTAAGCAATAGGCATATTTTACTAAACATTCGAGCATTTCCCAGATCTCCCAGCAAGGAACAAACTTCAATTTTACACCATAACATGCCTAAATAAAGTCTCTTCTCCTAACAACAACAACAACAACTCATTGGCTCATAGCCGAATCAGTTTCACTTTGTTGATAAAAGCATGTTTACTAACGATGTAGTCTAAGTACCCTGGATACATTCATTGAACGGATGATTTAATAAGATCCCAATAAATTGTTTCTTCTAATTTGATTAGTCGTTGATATCTTTCTTTGTAGCGGTTGTGAAATGAATGACATTTGTGTTCAGATTTCAACTTTTTCAGGATGACATTACTAATTCATTCTAGGAAAGTTGGAAGAAACTTGAGAGTGCTATTATTATGGAAATTGGTCATTGTTGCTCTTCGTTTCTCTCAATCGAGTGGTAATGTTCCGCGTCATGGATTTTCAATGGCATCATGAAATGACGATGTTAGAATTACTTTTTTTTTCTTAGTCTGAGATACTGAAATGGCTGAAGTCCCTTGTGTAAAGGTAGAGGTCGTATGGCTTGTGCAATAGGAAAATAGTTACAAATAAATCAACCATAAAAACCGGTATTAATTCTTAATCATAAAATGCTAGTACTGTAGCTAAATTTTGGAACTTTCAAGTCAACATAGGATCCTGGTTCCTTTTTTATATTGCTTATGGATGCACATTCGTGTGTACTTTGTGGTTCTTTCATATATTAAGTTTTAAGTTTCTTAGTGGGCTTAAACAGAGAATATCTGTCGATGCAGGCATGTCACATCTGATTTAGAAGAAGATGTTACCATAAACGTTGCTGATGTAAAATTTCACCTTCACAGGGTATGCCCAGTCTGCTATGTTTTTATGCTTCCTTTAGGTGCACGTGTTCGTAAATTCTGAATTTATATCCTTCTTTTTGTTTGTGTTAATTTATATATAATTTCCATTAAATCTGATTGAAAATATTGTTATAAGTATCATTTCTGTGAGCGTAAGTTTGCAAAATTCTGCAATTTAGCATAATCGCCATTGTAGTTGGATTGCAATGAATCGTTCTCTCAATGTGACCAAACTGTTGTTTTTATGAATTAAGTTATAGAATGCTTTGCCAGTGGGGAGCAGCTGTGCTCTAATTGATAATTTTGGTTGTGTTTTTTAATGCGCCTTTGCAGTTCCCTCTAATATCTAAGAGCAATCGGTTGCAAAAGCTGATAATGAAAGCTACTGAAGAGAACACTCTTGGAGTTGACATGGTTGATTTTCCTGGTGGACCAAAAGCATTTGAAATTTGTGCGAAATTCTGCTATGGTGTGACTGTTACTTTAAATGCTTACAATGTGGTGGCTGCTCGTTGTGCAGCTGAATACCTAGAGATGACCGAGGATGTTGATCGAGGTAACCTAGTTTTCAAAATCGAAGTATTTCTTAACTCTAGTATATTACGTAGCTGGAAAGATTCCATCATTGTTCTACAAACCACGAAATCTCTTCTGCCATGGTCTGAGAACCTGAAGATTGTTGGAAGATGCATTGATTCCATTGCATCGAAAACCTCTGTTGATCCTGCAAACGTCACATGGTCCTACACATATTACCGGAAGTTGTCAGCCCATGAAAAAATAGTAGAGTGTGTTACGAAATTTAGAGAGAAGATTGAATATGTTCCAAAGGATTGGTGGGTGGAAGATATATGTGAGCTAGATATTATTCTCTACAAAAGAGTCATGACTGCTGTGAAATCGAAGGGAAGAATGAATGGTGCCATCATATGCGAGGCGCTTAAAACGTATGCTGCCAGATGGTTGCCAGATTCTGTTGATGCGTTGGTATCTGATGTACATTCCAGGAGAAACAAATTACTGGTGGAAACAATTGTATGCTTATTACCTCCGGACAAGGGTGTGAGTTGTTTGTGCAGTTTCTTGCTGAAGCTGTTGAAAGTTGCCATTTTCGTTGGGGTGGATGATTCAGCAAAGGAAGATTTAGTGCAGAGGATAAGTTTAAAGCTGCAGGAAGCTTCTCTCAAGGATTTATTAATCCCAGCACGGCCTCCCCAAACTACCTTATATGATATTGAGATGGTGCTTTCTATTGTGAATGAGTATATGATGCATGAAGAGTGTAGTAGAGATTTAGATCTTGGAAAGAGTGATGTGGGATGTACTGATTATGTTCTGGGGCATGGAACCGTGTTGAGTGTTGGTAAACTGATTGATGCATATCTTGAAGAAATTGCACGCGACCCAAATCTTTCGCTTGCTACTTTCATCGACTTATCCCAGTCTATCCCCAAGTTTGCTAGGCCAGTACATGATGGACTCTATAAAGCCATTGACATCTACCTTAAGGTAGGCTTTTAAATTATGGATGCCAATTTCTTTAATCATCTCAAATTCTAGAATTATGCATTATCCCTTTCTATAAAATTCACATTCCTAGATCAATTTTTTTGCTGCTTGATATGGCAGACGGTTTTCGGAGTTTTGGGTTGTTGTACATCTGGTTGTGTGATATGGCATCAAAATTATTCAAACGCGGCTTGGTTTCTTGTAACAACTTGTTTTCTGCAGGAGCATCCGAGCTTGACAAAGGCCGAAAGAAAGAAACTGTGCGGTCTGATGGATGTCAAGAAGTTCACAACGGATGCGTCCATGCATGCTGCGCAGAATGATAGACTTCCACTTCGGGTGGTAGTTCAAGTTCTCTACTTTCAGCAAGCCAGAGCAGCAGCTGGAGTTAAGTCACTTAACAACAATCCCCATGACACTTGCCAGTCCACGCCGAACACTGACGAAGAGTGGGAGAAAACTGCAACTGAAGATTGTAACTCCATCAAGAAACAGATGGACCAGATCAAGATAAAAGAGGATGGGAGTAAATTGGTAAAGAAGAGTAGCAAAAACAGTAAAAGTGGGATGCAGCTGCTGCCTTCTCGATCGAGAAGAATATTTGACAAGTTGTGGGTGGTGGGAAAAGGGCAGGGCGAGAACAAAAGTTCTGAGACATCTGGAAGTTCACAAAGCCCGACATCGATGGTTCCGGGAGATACCAAGTCCTCCGGTTCATCTGCAAAACACAGGAGGCGTTCTATTTCCTAGAGAAGGGTATGTCGATGTCTACGAAGAAGATTCAGCAACTGCAGCAAGTGTAAAGAAGTTGGGGAGTTCCTATCATGTGTGAAGTATTCTTAAATAGGGTCAGCTGCTGAAAAAAATTAATGTAATATCAGATTTTTGGTCATTCTCTTACCAGACATCTTTAATCAGATTCTATGATCATCTTTTCTAGTAACAAGGCGACTACGTTTTCTTACAATGGCTAAAAAACCATGGCAATATATATATATATATATATATATATCTATCTATCTGTTGGTTATGCGATGAGAGGATAAGGATTAATTTTATTATATATATATCTATCTGTTGGTTATGCGATGAGAGGATAAGGATTAATTTTATGTTAGTAGTTTAAATTTAATTTTAATTCTAAGTCGGTTATGTAGGAGGTGTTGCGGAAGACGGCTATCGGATAGAGCAAAATCGTAATTGATAATTTGAGAAAATAAAAATGAAGATAAAGAATACACAAAATTTACATGGAAAACCCTTAAATAATATAGAGTAAAAACCACGGGCAACGGTAGAAGAATTTTACTATGAGAAAAATAAGAATTATAACCTCTCCCGATCTACCAAGGAGAAAACAATGATAATTCTCTCTTGATAAAAAGGAGAAAATAATTCTCAAGAAACTCTTTAAATTCTCTATAGTATTGTAAGAAAGCTAGAATGTTTTGGGATGATTTTGAAACTAAATGAGCTAGATATTTATAGTAGAAGCTTTAATGACTAATCTTATAAATACCCTAAATTACAATGACTAATTGCATAGTTTTACCATCCAAAAATTCAACAAAAGTTGGCTACCTAAATATGATCATTTAGCCGCCTATGTTTTGTTTACTTTCAACAATCTCCAACTTGAAGATTTGATTGTAACAATCATATCTTCACATCATTCTTTCTATCTTGTACCATCATGTTGCTTATGTCTCTGACAGACCACAGGAGGATTGACACCAGGTAAATTTATCCGCGTTGATTACCTTCGTCATGAAATTGCTATGTTGTCTTTGGTATGAATTTTCTGTATATCTACCGTCCCTTCTTCCACCTTTTCACGAATGAAGTGGTACTGAACTCGTATGTGCTTTGTCCTTGAATGAAATGTTGGATTCCTTGCTAGATGCAAGGCGCTTTGACTGTCACAAAACAAAGAGACATACTCTTGATTGTGCCCAAGCTCCTCCAATAGAATCTTCAACCAAATTGCTTCTTTACTGGCTTGTGTAGCTGCTACATATTCTACCTCTGTTGTGGATGTAGCCACAACTGACTGCAATTTTGAAACTCAGCTTACAACTCCACCAGTAATTTTGAACACATATCCTGTAGTAGATTTGCTTTCATCCAAATCTCCTGCATAGTCAGAATCTACATACCAATTGATTAATAAGTTTGATCCTCCGTAATATAATGCAACATTTGAGGTCCCTTTGATGTATCTCAGAATCCTCTTTACTATATTCCAACGCTCTTTGCTTGGATTTGCCATGTACCGACTAACCACTCCCACTGCTTGTGCAATGTCTGGTCTTGTGCATATCATAGCGAACATTAAACTTCCCACTGCCGATGCATACGGTACTCGAGACATCTCCATCCTCTCTTCTTCACTGCTAGGACTCATACTGGAGGATAATTTGAAGTTAATAGGAAGAGGGGTAGAAATTGACTTACAATCTTGCATGTTGAATCGTGATAAGATCTTCTTTAAGTAATTCTTTTGTGAAAGTCAAATCTTCCTATTACTTCTGTCTCGGTGAATTTGCATCTCTAGAATCTTGTTTGCTTATCCCAAGTCCTTCATTTCAAATTCCCTAGCTAGTTGTGCCTTCAATTCTTCAATATGATCTTTGTTGGGTCCTGCAACCAACATGTCATCCACATACAACAATAATATAACAAAATCGTTATCACCAGACCTCTTGAAATAAGCACAAGGGTCTGCATTAAGTCTGTTATATCCAAGGCACATAATGAAGGAATCAAATCTCTTATACCAACACCTCGGCGCCTGCTTTAGACCGTACAGAGATTTGTTCAACCTGCAAACCAAGTTCTTCTTTTCTTTTTCTTCAAAACCTTCAGGCTGGAGCATATAAATCTCTTCTTCAAGATTTCCATGAAGAAAAGCTGTTTTAACATCTAGTTGCTCTAGATGGAAGTTCAATGTAGCACACATTGCCAAAACTACTCGAACTGTTACTACTCGAACTGTTGTTAGTCGAACCACAGGAGAAAATATTTCATTGAAATCAATACCTTCTTTTTGAGCATATCCTTTGACCACCAGTCTTGCACGATACCTCTCAATTTGATCATCACCACTTCGCTTGATTTTGAAGACCCATTTGTTATCAATTGGCTTCCTTCCTTGTAGTAGTGGCATAAGGTCCCATGTATTATTTTTATGAAGGGCTTCGATTTCTTCTTGCATCGCCATCATCCACAGTGAAACATCTGAGCTGTGTATTGCCTCCTGGTATGTTGATGGCTCATCGTCCTCTGTTAAAAGGAAATATGCAATATTACCTTCTATAACATAATCTGAGTGTCAATTGGGACGTCTTCTCACACGATCTGATTGACGAGTTGTTGGAGCTTCAGAACTCTCTGGTTCTTGTTCATCATGTGCTGATTCTACTTTAGAAGAATCTCCTTGTTCAACCTCATTTTCCACATGTATCTGTGTGGTCTCTGACTTTTCAGTGCTATCATCATCTTCTTTTCTTTGTAACTTATCTTCTACAAAGATAACATCCCTGCTAATGATCACTTTACGGGCAGTAGGATCCCACAAGCGATACCCCTTTACACCATCAGCATACCCCAAGAATTTGCATTTCCTGGATTTTGGATCCAACTTTGAAATTTCTTGGGAGTTGTACATCACATACACAATACTTCCAAATACATGGAGGTTTGAATAATCAGCTGGTTTACCAGTCCACATCTCCATTGGTGTCTTCAGCTCTATTGCAGTTGATGGAGCTCGATTCACCAAATAACATGCGGTATTGACTGCTTCTGCCCAGAATGATTTTTCTAGGCCTGCATCCCTCAATATTGTTCTTGTTCTTTCTAACAAGGTTATGTTCATCCGCTCTACCACTCCATTTTGTTGAGGAGTGTTCGCCACTGTGAACTGTCTTTTGATGCCTTCTTTCCTGCAAAAGTCATCAAATTATTCGCTTGTGTATTCTCCTCCATTATCTGTTCTGAAACACTTGATCTTATTTTCAGAATCAAGTTCCACCCGCGCTTTGAAGTTTTTTGAAAGTGGAAAACACATATGACTTCTTCTTAATAGGGTACACCCAACATCTCCTGGAGTAGTCATCAATAAATGAGACAAAGTATTTTGCTTCACCTAGGGATGTAACTGGTGCTTGCCATACGTCAGAGTGAACCAATTCTAGAACACCTTTGCCTCTAGAATTTGATGTGTTGAATTTCAACCGGTGCTGCTTACTTGTTATGCAATGCTCACACAAAGGAAGTGATACCTTTGTTAAGCCTGGAAGTATCTTTTGCTCCACAAGGACTTTCATTCATTGTTCTGACATGTGTCCAAGTTTCTGGTGCCATAGCATTATCGAATTTGAACTACATGAGGCAACAGAGGCTTCTGCTTCTACCAAAGTCTCTCCCTTCAGCATGTACAAGTTTGCAGCTATCTTTACACCTTTCAGCACCACAAGCGCTCCACGGAACACCTTCATGATTCCTTTCCGTGTTTCAATCTTGCTTGCATTATTATCCAACAATCCGTAGGATAATAAATTTTTCTTCAGACCTTTCACGTTCCGCACATCTCGAACAACTTTAATTGTTCCATCATACATCTTCAATTTGATGGTTCCCACGCCAACGATCTCTAAGGCATGATCATTGCAACTATATACAGATCCTCCTGAGACAGGTTCATAATGATGGAACCATTCTCTTCTTGAGGTTATGTGATATGTTGCTCCCGAATCAATGAGCCATATATCTGCAAATCGTTTTCTTCCTTCCACGGTGGTTGACGCTTCACAGCATAGAACATCTCCATCATCTGAAGTGTTTGCAGTATTGCCTTGTGGATTGGAGTTTTTATTTAGACTCCAACAATCCTTCTTCAAGTGACCCTTCTTTCCACAGTTGTAACACTTTAAATTCTTCTTGCTTCTCGACTTCGATCTACCATGTTTGTGACTGCTGCTTTGGCCTCGTTCTGTTGATCTCCCTCTCATCGTTGTCATCGTTGTCAACGCTTTTGCTTGTTGCAGATTTACTTGTCTGTCTTCCTTGTTCTTACGCCGATTTTTTTCTTGTAGAACAGTAGCTGCAACGTCATCGAAGACTAGACTGGTGACATTATTGTTTGTCAAGTTGATGATGAGTTGATCATACTAATCCGGTAGACTTTGAAGTAGAAGTTCAGCACGTTATTGTTCTCCTATTTTACAGCTTAAGGATGTAAGCTGAGAAAATAAAGTGTTCAGTGTATTTAAGTGCTCCGTCACTGAAGTAGATTCTGGCATACGGAGAGTGTACAATTTTCTCTTAAGGAAAATTTTATTGTGCAGCGATGTGGCCTCGTACAGTTTGGTGAGATGATTCCATATCTCCTTAGCTGTCTTCTTCTCCTCGATGCTTGACAATACTTCATCTGCTAATGCTAGATGAAAGTTTGCAATAGCATTCCCGTCCATCTCGTTCCATTTGATGTCATCTGCGAAATCCATCGACCTTTCATTGATAGCTGCTAGACAACCGTCTTTCCTCAGGATGACCTTCATCTTCAATTTCCACAATGAGAAATTTTTCTCATTGAATTTTTTAATATCAAATTTCGTTGTCATATCTTCTTTTACGGATAGCTCCCACTATTTCACTATCGTGAATAGTTCTCTGGAACCTTCAAAGAATGGGTAATAACTTCTTACTTTCTTATGTTGGAGGATCCACCTTTTGGTGGCAACCACAAAGATAATAAGCAGATATTACACAATCAAATCTGGCTCTGATACCAATTGTTGCGGAAGACGGCTATCGAGTAGAGTAAAATCGCAACTGATAATTTGAGAAAATAAAAATGAAGATAAAGAAGACACAAAATTTACGTAGAAAACCCCTAAATAATATAGGATAAAAACCACGGGCAACGGTAGAAGAATTTCACTATGAGAAAAATATGAATTACAACCTCTCTCGATCTACCAATGAGAAAACAATGATAATTCTCTCTTGATAAAAAGGAGAAAACAACTCTCAAGAAACTCTCTAAATTTTCTATAGTATTGGAAGAAAGCTAGAATGATTTGGGATGATTTTGAAGCTAAATGAGCTAGGGTATTTATAGTAGAAGCTTTAAGGACTAATCTTAAAAATACCTTAAATTACAATGACTAATTACATAGTTTTATCATCCAAAAATTCAACAAAAGTTGACTACCTAAATATGACCATTTAGCGGCCCATGTTTTGCATACTTTAACAGGAGGCAGTATAGTTTGTGTCATTGTGTGGAATACCAACTCTTTAGCATTGTATATGACGCACTCATTACCTGTGTAAAAAAAGAGTTTGTCGTGAATGAAATTTAGGTTTTCCAGAAACCTATTTTCTTGGAATTAACAATATACTTTAATCTGTGAATTAATTTCATGTTTTAATACTTCCATTCCATTTAACAAACTTGATATATCGAAATAATAAATGCTTTTGATGTTTCAACAAAAAACAACTCATTTTTAAATACCAACAACTACACCTTATACATTACGGGGAAGCATAATAATCTCCAAAGTACTCCCCTATCATTTTTCTCATCTCAGGCGTTGAACATGTCGAACGTACTGGAAATTAAGTGGTGAAGATTGTTTCGCATGGTCTAACATAAGGTGTGCAGTGTCTTTCCACCAAGAAATCTCTCTTTCCTTTTCGCGGAGCTCTTTCTTTGCACTTTCCAAAGCATCTTCTAGATCTTTTATCTGTTGTTCCTGTCTTGTTTCCAGCAATTCATGCAACTTCATCTCCAGTTCATACGGAGGAACCCCACAATGCGAATCCGGACAGCCTTCTTCCTCAGCATCATCAATTACTTCCCCATGGCTTAGACTGCAGCTTTTACACTCCTATAGTTGCAAACAATACAATTTAACATCTTTGGGGAATTTGTAAAGATTTCAATTTAACATCTTTATATGAATCAAATTAGACATGGGAAATTAAGAGTTTCCAAGATTTATTTGTACCTCGATGGTTTCCTGGGGTGGGTTTGTGGGGAATTTGCCTGAATCCAAAAGGAGTTGTAAACGTTCTAATTCAACTTCAAGCTCTGCTTCGAGTCTGTCCATTCCTTCTAAGCAATCTTCTTTAGGCGCATCTTCACTTTTCAGAGACTGGTCAAACAGTACTCTGTTTGATATAAGATTGCTGTTAAATCCCAAACTTTCCTCGACCCCATCCCCTTCATTCGATTCAATATTCTTATGAACCAGTAAGTCTTTATTTAGAAGCCGCTCTTTAACTGTTTGAAGAACACTCTCCATTTGAATCCTCAATTCCGTCATCTTTTGGAGTTCATTCTTACTCTCAGCAATCAGATGGAGCAAACAGCACCCTATTCCCACATTAAATTTTGATTCACACCCACATATTTCTTCTTTAAAAATAATAATAAACAATATTAGGATGTGAATTTTCAGAAGCCAATATATAATATATTGTATATAGGAAATTGATGTTCTTAATCTTACCCGGTGATAAATCAGGACCGTCGGCTACATGATCAGGCGGCGCAACATCATCGTCTCCTTTTTTTTGGTCACCATGAAACTTATTCGTAAGCTTCCCGCGGGTAAAGCAAAAGAACAAGCGATCAGCGATACGACGGGGTTTGGAGCAGTTGGATGATCCTGTGCAACCGTCTGCGTGGAGGAGGCGATCTTCTTCATGGTCTTGGAGTAAAAGCACGTCGGCGATGCGGAAGGGAGGTGGAGGGTTGGATTTAAAGAAGGGAGATAAAAGTAGGGGCTTAAACTTCAACACTATTCGCATTGGCATGGAGTTTGAGCCAATATTTTCTGCGTAGAAGAAGAGAAAAAAAGAGAGTCAAAGTACAAAGGGAGTGAACAGTGAGGCGTTTTCAATTGTGGACAGATTTGGAGGGAAAAAAGTTTTTGATTTTGTGAGTTTCATTTAGAAATTGAAAAACGTAAAATAAAATATTTTTTTCATTTTTCTTTTAATTAAAGTAATGTATTGGCTGTTATATACAAAAAAATAGACGTGATAAATTCATTTTCTGAAAAAATGTATAGAAAATATATTGTTTTGTGGGGTTGGGGAGGAGCGGATATTGGCATAAAATTAGGAAATACAAACGGACGAAAATTTGCTTATTATTAATTGATGATAATTTCTGTCTTACTCGGGGCATAATTGAAGCTTTTCTAAAATAATAGCAACACAAACAACAAATCAAGCAGCTATTAGGCCATAATAATTCATGTCTCTTTTTATAATTGCACCAAAAATATAGATGATTATATTATAATTATTTATAGTTTTTAAGGGAAATTTAGGATTATTTTTAGTTAAAAAATTATTTGATTTCTGTTTTTTTAGCTTAAAAACATTGATAGTGCTCAAACTCAAAATCTCAAAAATAATAATAATTTTTTCATTACCAAGGTCACTTGGTTCGTACTGATTTCTTAATTAATTTTTATAGCTTTATTTTGATGTGGATTTTGAACTATTTAAAAATGGGTAAAGTATACAAATGATCTTTCGATTATATGGTGATATTTTGTTGAATCCATCAATTATTAAAAGTAACAAAATGGTCCCTCAACTACATAATGTTGTTTTGTTAATTCCTCCAACTATTAAAAGTTACAAAATGATCACCCAACTATCCATATATTCCAAACTCATTCTTTTTCATTAAAAAGTTGACAATCATGTGAGCTGAACATTAACATGTTGACTAAGATATGATAAAAATCATATTTTAATAACGGCTACTAGCACCACTGTTGCTTTCAAGCACTGACTCGACAATATAATCTTTCAAGCAAAGCTCAGATGACCACAAATTTTTTAACGAAAAATGACAAGTTTAAAATATATGAATAGTTGAGTTATCGTTTTATAACTTTTAATAGTTAGAAGACTTGACAATGCAACATTCTATAGTCGAAGGACCATATAACTTTTAATAGTCATAAGGCTCAACATAATAATATCATATAATTAGGGGACCATTTGTGTACTTTACCCTTAAAAAATTGATATTACTAATGATACTTTTGTTTGCGTCTCTTTTAATTAGGGTTTCGGCCAGACGCTAGGTATTTGGATCGTGATTAATTGAGAGGTAAGAATTGAATATATATTAGATACTATAATTTTTTTTATCAAATGTATTATAAATACTTTAATTATGTATCAAGATAAGGATTATCATAAAAATAATATTTAAATACTAAATTGCACTAGTTTAATATATTAAACTAAAATTATAACAAAAATTATCATAAAATTACAAATTCTGTAACAGGATATCAAATTGGAGGACTTTATAATTTTTTGGGAGCAAGCGAAAATTATCAAAATTTTAACTATTACTTAAAAGGGTTAAAACAAAATTTGAGAAAACTTTGAGGGAATTAAGGAAATTTCACCAAATTTAAGGGGACGGAACGCTTGCCAATCCCCGCTAAGATTCGATCTGTGTGGATACGTAGTGATTGATACGACAAGATCTTTTGAAACACGGTAATAATGAAGGGCGATTTCTGGTTCTAAAGTTCATCCATATGTTATTCCAAATTAATACATCATAGTTAGTATCGTGCTACCGGTGGTTGTGATTGGAGACCAATGCGTAAGAAGTGGTCAAAGGTAGCTTGTAAAATTGTAAGATCCACCTGATAAACCCAATGCTTCACACTTGAATCTGCATCCACGAGCGAGTTCCCTTGCATCATAACGCCAAAATAATTTTGCTGCTTTTTGGTGGGGACTCGGCACTGATAAAATCAGCCCAATAATCCAAGTGGGTAAATTATTTAGTCTAATAAGATGATTCGAAAAATTATTTTAAAATTTATTATATTTATTATAGTGTTTGTGAAACTCATCTGATGTGACGAGTTTCATAAAATATATTAAAGATTAGAACTCGTCATATGATATAAAATAAAATTGTATGGAACTTGTCACGCGAGCGTGATGAGTTTTAATTTTTTAATATATTTTATAAAATTCGTTACGCTGACGTGATAAGTTTCACGTGTATTGTAATAAATATTGTAGATCCCAAAATAATTTTCGAATCACCATATTAAACTAAATAATTTACCTGCTTGGATTATTAGACTGGTTTGCCCTTGGCACTCACTAGTGCCACTAGCATTGAAATTGCACTCTTTTGAAGAAAAATATATCATATTTTTATTTTGTATTAAAAGTAAAAAAAAAGTGAACTGATTATTTAAATTTGAAAAAGTATTAATTGTTTTTATGTAAATTTGCAAAAAAAAGTATGTCATACGAGCCAATGAAGCAATACACAAATTTAAAAAATAAGGTAGATTATATATATGACTATTTAATTATATGAAGATTGTAATCTGATTTTTTTTAAATTTTATCAATTAGATCACTTATAATTATTTAAATAATTTTAATCAAGTCATTTAATGTTAATATTTGATTGGGAAATTGACATGATAGTTAACAAAATTAATATAATTATATATTTGGTCCTTATTACTTATATATTTTTTATTAATTTATCATCATCATCCGATTGAAGATAAATAAAAATGATGTTGAGGGGAAGAATCAAACTTGAAATTAGGAAAAAAAAATTGATCACGCCTTAACCGCTGGGCAAATCCTATATTTATGATATCGATCAAAACATTATGTACATAATTTATATTGTAGTTAATACCAAATAAAAATAAAAGTGATCAATAATGAATTCGAATAAAAGTCAATTAGGGAGTTTAAGAACACTTAAATACTGAAATAAATATAATGTTATTTTATAATTGAAAGAATTGTATATATTAAAGTATAATTAATGCAAATTTTCGTGTATATTGTATGGATTAAGAGTAAAATTCTAAAATTTAAAACTACGTGAATCCATCGAGTGATCTCAATAGAAAAATAATTGTTTCCTCCCTAAAGGTCTTGAGTTTGAGCAATTGCGTCTGCAGAGTGTGTGTGCGTTATCAATTGATTAAGAAAGTTCTATATAGATATTATCTTGTAATCACTTCAGACAATTCAATTTTTTTAAAATACATAATTAAAAATAGTTAAACTAAAATATACTATATGAACTCATCAAGTAGTCTCAGTGGTTAAAGAGAATGTCGTTTTTCCTTGAGATATTGGGTTTGAACAATTGCATCTACATAGTGTGTATACGTTGTCAGTAATTAATAAATTGTTTAAACATATATTACCTTACAATCATCTAATATCGTTAAAAAATCAACAGTAAATTCATAATATGTTACATAGTATAAAGACAATGTATTTAGCCTAATAGACTAATTTGCCCTCTATTGTTTCATTTTTGTATTTCTGTTTATGGATAAGTCATCCATTGTTTAAGGTTTAGATTTAGTGGGCCGTTCCCCCTTTTTCTTCTTAATTTCCAATCAAATAACTTTGTTTATTATTATTATTATTCCAATCAATGATTTAACAACCTAACTCGTATTGATTTGATTTTGAGAGCCGGATTAGGCCCAGTAAAGAAACAACTTTTAAGTCGTTGAAATGCATGAATAAAGTACGTCTTTACTTGTTTAACGCGCAATTAAAACTGTCGTTTGTTTCCCTAGAAAACGACGTTGTTTTCTTGAAAGAAAATTAATATAGAATTTTTGGTATCATTATCAACTTAAAAGCTACTAACTGAAGGTGGAGTTTCGTTAAATCCTATGAGTTTAATATAGAAATTAAGTTCTCTTCCAGTCATCATTACCCGTAATTAAAACTACCGGATGCGACTACTACACTTTTTGTTTAACGGAGTATAAAAAATAATTTGGACAAAGAGTTTAAGTTTTTCAGACCAAATTATCCAAAAAAAAAAGTTTTTGGGACCAGAAAAAAGGTAGGACAAGGTAAAACAAACGAGCTGGTGAGTATTATTAAATGGTAGAAGATGATTATATTTTGAAGGAAAATACAAAAACAAAACAAAACAAAAAACCAAAAAGGGAAGAAAATTGAAACATGGACCAATCGTTGATGGTTTTCGTTATTCATTAACAATTAACAAACAAAAGGATTAAACAATGCGAAAACAGAGACAATGCTTAGATTCTCTTTTAGTTTTTTTTTTTCCTTTCTTTTTCTCTCTAGTGTTCTTTTATTTATTTATTCATGGTAATAAAACTCTACCAGACCAAATCTTTGTCTGTCCAGACACCAAAACATTGTCGCAATATTCTCTCCTAAATCTAAACTCTTGTATCTCTTTAACGACCTTCGAATCTTGATTGAAAGCTAAGTTTCTGGAACACTTCCCTAACAACTCGTTGCTTCAAAACCCTGCAATATTATCGTTGCTCCGCCAAGTGCTAGTGTAATCATTTGCACCCTTCTTCTCTTTCCTTTTCTTCTTCTTCTTCTTCTTCTTCTTCTTCTTACTCTCTCTATATTAGCTAAAGAATGTGGCTATCTTTTCTTCAGGAATGATTTGATTGTTGACAGATCTTGGAACGACAATGGCGTTGTTTAGGAAGCTGTTTAACAAAAAGCCGCCGGATGGGCTTTTGGAGATCTCTGAAAGGGTTTATGGTACGCTTTTCGTTTCTACTTATATTTGCTTCTTTGAATGGTAAACTATAATGGGATTAAACTGCTATTTTTGTGTATTTTTAATGCATATTCATGTAATTTGTCCTTGATATTAGTAATGCGACTTGGGATTCTTTTTTCATTGCTGAATATTTGAATTGGAGACCATATATGGGTTACAATGTCGTAGAACAGCTAGCCAATGCTTTCCATTCGTTTGTGAAAAAGGGCAAAAAAGAAAAGCGTTTAGCAGTTGGGTCTTCGATGTAAACTCTGCTGGGTGCCATAGTTGCAAGGATTCTTCCTTAGAGCCATTACCATGTAGCTTATTGCTTCTTCTTTTTTCTGTTAATTATGGTCCTAGTTTCAGTATGATGTATCATTTGATAATTTATTCCTTTTTGCCCTCTCTAAACAATACATGTTGCTTCCTTATAACATCGTTTTCTATATTTTGCTGTTAATTATGGTCCTAGTTTCGGTATATGTGAATCTGTGGTTGTGGTTTCAATCATTGGAAAGTATTATGGTATTATTACTTATTAATATCCATTGCTCTATCGTTTGCATATGCAGCTTTTGACTGCTGCTTTTCCACGGATATTTGGGAAGAAAAGGAATATAAATTCTACATTGAAGGTATAGTGCATAAACTACGCGATCATTATCCCGATGCTTCATTCATGGCGTTCAACTTCCAACAAGGAGAGCACCAAAGCCAAATTGCCAGTACATTGTCTGAGTATGATATGACTGTAATGGACTATCCTCGCCAATATGAAGGTTGCCCATTACTCACCACGGAAATGATCCATCATTTCTTGAAAATATGTGAAAACTGGTTATCACTTGGTCAACAAAATATGATCTTATTGCATAGTGAACGAGGTGGGTTGCCGGTTTTGGCATTTATGCTTGCTGCTCTCTTACTGTACCAGAAGCAGTTATCCGGAGAGAAGAAAACATTAGAAATGATCTATAAGCTAGCACCTCGTGAGCTTTTGCATTTGACGTCTCCCCTGAATCCACTACCCTCTCAACTAAGGTATCTCCAGTATGTCTCTGGGAGAAATGTGGGCTCAGAATGGCCTCCATCAGATAAGGCACTTACGCTGGACTGTATTATTCTAAGATTCATCCCTAATATGGATGGTGAGGGGGGCTGCCGTCCGATATTTAGGGTATATGGACGGGATCCTTTTATGGCTGCCGACAAGCCCCCCAAAGTCCTGTTCTCTACACCGAAGAATAGTAAACTTATTCGGTATTACAAGCAAGTGAGTCCAATTCTCATCTATATCTGTAATAACTATTTACCTTTTATTTTTTAACACAAGCTTCTTCTTCCTCATCATGATTCACATTGAGAATTCTTTTGCTTTCAACTTCAAAGATGAAGTTAATCTTATATTCTTCATTTATTCTTGCAGGTGGACTCTGAAGTTGTTAAAATCAATACCTATTGCCACGTTGTGGGTGATGTTGTGCTTGAATGTATTAGTTTGGACAGTGTTCAGGAGCGGGAATTAATGATGTTCAGGATCATGTTCAATACAGCCTATATAAGGTCAAATATTCTGATGCTTAACCGTGAAGAAATTGACACCTTATGGAACGGTAAGGATCAATTTCCAAAGGACTTCAGAGCAGAGGTATGTGATTATATATCTTTCTTCTTTCCTTTGTTTCCTGTCTTGTTTTGTTTATTCTGATCTTGTATAATCATTTTACGTATGGGTGAAGGTTCTTTTCTCCGATGTGGATGTTGCAACTTCTGCTGTATCAATTGATTTACCAGGTCATGAGGATAAAGATGACCTTCCCATTGATGATTTTGCTAAAGGTCAAGATGTTTTCAGCAAAGCTGACTATACAAATGTAGCAAATATGCTAGAAGAAAATTCGGAGACAGGTTGTCCCCGGGGTATGGAAAGAGCCAGTGCCTTGCAAGATGATAGAGTCAAGGAGAAATCAAATTTACTGACATCAGAGCACATCATCGCAAGTCTAACATCCAATGCTATGGATAAACAATCTAATTTCTCTTTTCAATCATCAGATGCAAATCCATCTACAAAGAAGTTTGAACCACAAGAAATCCAGGTTGCTCCTCCAAAGGCTGCACAACATACACCCTCTGCTGGATCTCCTTCAGATTCAAGCTCAATAGAGGGGAAAATTGAATCGAAAGAACTTCAAGTTGCTCCACATGAAGAACATTCTAAGAACTACGTTAAGCCATCTCCAGGAGCCAATTCAAGTATAAGGAATGTCGAAATTCAAAAACCTGAAGTTCTTGAACAACTTGTGCAGTCTACACCGTCTCTTAGTCCAGTCCTGGATGTAAATTCAATCAGAAAGAAAATTGAACCCCAAGAATTTCAGGTTGCTGTGCAATGCCCTGCACAACCTAAGATTATATCCCAGCGATCACTTCAGTCTTCAATCTCTTCTCCAGTTTCATGTAGCAATTCCTCGCAAGGTTCACCTGTACCGATATCAAGATACTGCAGTGCAGCTTCAGCTCTTGGCATTACAGCTTTATTGCATGATCATGATGCATCTGAAAGTGAGGATCGCAGTCATGCTGTGGAGGACTCTCATACCGCCACATCTCCTGCTTATCAATCCCCTTCTTTTCTGGAGGTATCTCCTCCTGCAGTGAAGAGTACATTCAAGTCTCCTCCTTACCCTCCCCCTCCTCCTCCTCTACATTCTTTTTCTAGGGCATCTCCATCTCCCTTGGTTAAGAACTCACTTCAATCTCTTCCTGCCTCATCACGTGCTTCTCTAGCTCCCAAAGACAACAGCTTATCACAAATCCCCTCATTCTCAGCTATTACTCCTTCTACTGTAAAGAATTCATTTTCAGCTCCCCCTCGTCCTCCGCCACTCCCTAGTGTTGCTTCCTCCACCACATGCTCGATTTCTTCTTCTGCACAGCTTCAGAGATCAAGACCCCCTCCTAGTAAATCCTCTGTTCCACAGCCACCACCACCTCCTCCTCCTAGTGTTGCCGTGAAGGGTTTTTCATCAAATAGCTCTGTGCATGCTCCATCCGTACCACCTCCTCCAGCCCCTTGTGCCAAAGGATTATCTAAAGCAGGTGGGAGTATACCTTCAATTCCTGGACCACCTGCTGCTCCCTTGAATTTGAAGGGATTGAGTATATCACGTATAGGTCCTAAAATTCTGGCTCAGCAGAAAAAATCTAACTTGAAGCCATACCATTGGTTGAAGTTGACGAGGGCGGTGCAAGGAAGTTTATGGGCTGAGGCTCAAAAACCAGAGGAAGCTTCCAAGTACGTATTTTTCACTAAACATTTTAGTCCATATGATTCTGTAGAGATGTAATTTGTTCTTTTATCTGTGCCAGGGCTCCAGAAATTGACATTTCAGAACTTGAGAGTCTTTTCTCTACTGTTGCAGCGAATTCAAATGATAGTAGAAGGGATCGGAAATCAAATCGAGGTGCCTCAAACCGTAAACCTGAGAAAGTCCAGCTGGTAATTAGCATGTTACTTTTTTTTCTGAAAAGGTTGAAACCCCTCATTAGTTATGACCATGGCTGTAAATCCTTTTTTTTTAACTTTCAAAACTGGAGCTTTTGGTGTCTTTTAACCTGTCTACAATTCCAGACATGGAACATCTTATCTCTGTTTGCTATCTCACAAGAAATTCATTAATTTGCAGATTGAGCTTAGGAGAGCATATAATTGTGAAATCATGCTAACAAAAGTCAAAATTCCTTTGCCTGAATTGACGGTAAGATAAAACATATAGCATTTCTCTTGATAACTGTAGTTTAGATTCTGAGTTATAGTTAGATTTACAGAGACCAATCTCATGCTTTTTCACTACTAATAAATGCCAAATTGATCTTTTACATTTTTGCATTGCTGACACTATCTTGCAGAGTTCGATCCTTACCTTAGATGATACAGCATTAGATTCTGATCAGCTTGAGAACCTTATTAAGTTTTGTCCTACAAAAGAAGAGGCGGAATTACTTAAGGTGCTGAAAATATGTTCTTATCTTTTCCTTGTCTGTGATCTTAAAGTAATAGTTTCGTGATTTTTAATGTTCACAACCGTGTCTGAGTTGATGACATTGTTTGGTATATTATGCGAATAATCATGTTGTTAGTGGTGGTCATATTTTTATTTTCAGGGTTATAATGGAGATAAGGACAAGTTGGGAAAATGTGAACAAGTTAGTGTCGCATTTTTTTTTGCGTTTATACTCGTTTATTTAACAAGTATTATATCTGATTATCTGCCTCGTATTTGGTGACAGTTTTTCCTAGAATTAATAAAAGTGCCACGGGTAGAGTCAAAGCTTAGAGTTTTCTTGTTCAAGATACAATTTTTTTCCCAGGTATGAGAAGAAACTCTAATCAGATTGGTAGGCAATGCTTTTTTTGTTGTCACCTAATTGGTACTCTTTGTGCCTTTCCAGATTTCTGACCTTAGAAATAGTTTGAATATTGTAAACTCTGCAGCTGAAGAGGTATAATTTCTCTTTCTTTTTCTTCGTATTCAATTGAATTGTTTTTTGTACTGAACAAATTTTGTTTTGTACCATTTGACAAATGCATACATCAGGTTAGGAATTCGGTCAAATTGAAAAGAATCATGCAAACTATTCTTTGTCTGGGAAATGCATTGAACCGTGGAACTGCAAGGGGTGAGTGATTTTTGTTGATGAGGTAGTTTTTATGATAATCTTATTGCAGTCATCTATTTTTATTCCATTCTAGTGAGGAAGATTTTCCAATGAGAAACAAGGTCAATCAACACACTGCTGATTTGCCTTAGAATAGAAACTAGAAACATGTAACTAGTATCTATGTCACCATTTCTTTACAGTTAATTGAATTTGAAATTCTGACAAGAAACCTAAATGAGTTTCATGTCGCTCTAATTTGGTAACTTTGTTTTGTTACTCTCCAAGTGCTATTGTAAGTACTGTAAATTCTTCTCCCCGGATGGCAGTTCTGTTCAATCTTCTGAAGAAGCATCAGTTTACTCCAACGGTTTAAGTAATTTGTAGTTTCTTTCTCTCCCGCAGGTTCTGCTGTCGGTTTTCGATTGGATAGTCTTCTTAAACTCAGTGAGACACGATCTAGGGATAACAAGATGACTCTCATGCATTATCTTTGCAAGGTAAAAGATGAATTACCTTACTTTCGCTGGTACTGATCTTTGCTATTAAGTTTGCCTGAACAACTTGAGTATTCTTGCACTTATACTCCTATGGTTCAAGGGGAATGCTTCTTTATTTGTTTTTAAGACCGCAGTACACTTGGTAAAGAATGTCTGCTGACGTTTACTTCATTGTTTAATTTAGTTGAAGACTAACTTTAAAATGCGAGAGTCATGAAGATTGTGAACAATTCTTGCAGAAAAGTGCATGAACTGTTTCTTTGTTTTTACATTTGGAATGATGGCGGTTTAATTATACAGTTATAAAACATAATAGCTAGTCTGCAGTATCTTTTCCTGCCGAGCAAGCTTCTATAAAGGTGGTTTCTAGTTCTACAAAAGCTTCGTGCTTCTCTTTTGATTAAAAGATGCTTTCTATATTCTTTATGTTTTCTGAAGTTTATTATCATTTGTTTTGATTGCATGTTTATAATTTACAAGAGATTCTATTGTATTCATTTCTATTTCTCAAAAACAAAGTGTTTAGGTTGAGAAGCTGCTTAATTGAACAATAACATATTCAATATGAAAATATTAATTATACTTACTAATGGCATCTAATGTTTAGGTCCTGGGGGAGAAGTTGCCAGAATTACTAGAGTTTCCAAAAGACCTTGTAAGTTTGGAAGCTTCAACAAAGGTAAATTATTATGGCATTTTGATGTCATAGCGGATTCGCTTAATCTTTGGCATATGATGCTATGTAAAATTGTTGATTGCCATGCAGATACAATTGAAATATTTGGCCGAGGAAATGCAAGCCTTCAGTAAAGGGTTGGAGAAAGTTGTACACGAACTGGCTGCCTCAGCAAATGATGGTCCAGTGTCTGAAACTTTTTGCTTGGTAATTCCTATTTATTATCTACTTATTTTGCACGTCAATTGGGGTTTCTGTACATTCTTGTAAACCCTAAACCCTAAACTCTAAACCCTATTTGTTATACTTGTTTTCTTACTCCATAATATTTGATAAGCAACTAATGCTTTGTTTTTTTGTTTTTACATTTAGACCTTGAAGGAGTTCCTTGGTTTTGCTGGAAGTGAAGTCAAGTCTTTGGCTTTGCTTTATTCTAGTGTGGTATGTATTATTTTGAGTTTTTGCTCTGCCCTCCTCAATGTGCTTACAATCTAACAAATTCATTGGCACTAAATTGGATGTCTTCAGGGTAGAAATGCGGATGCCTTGTCTCTTTATTTCGGAGAAGATCCGGCACGGTGCACATTTGAGCAAGGTAGTTTAGTCTTGACAAGTTTGCTGAATTCTTACTGACTACATTGCAAGTATTTAGGACTATAAACTTTATTCAAAGAACTGGTTCACTTATATTTTGTTGCCATTCATTTCAACAAACTGAAGTGGGGGAAAGAACAAGGGTAGGGTTGTTGAAGTCCGGGATAATGTAAACTTAATGGCTCTGAATTACATATTATAGCTAGCACTAATGCTAATATGATAGTTCTAAGTAATTTGATGGCATTTACACCTGTTTATGTGCATGTATTATGACTCTGAATGCTTTACATAACTAACATGCACCTGTTTATGTTATTTGTATCGCTCTTTTAATTTTTCCCCCCTATAGTTGTGTCCATTCTGCTCAACTTTGTGAGGATGTTTGTCCGAGCGCACGTGGAAAACCACAAGCAGCTTGAATTGGAACATAAGAAAGCAGAGAAGGAGGCAGAAAATGAGAAGATGAAAGTTACTACTCCGGAAAAGAAATCTGAACAACAGATTATAGCCGTATATCACTGTTATCATGTGGTGGAGGAGAGTATTGTTTATAATTAGACAGCGAGAAAAAGAAGAGGTAATTAGTTTAGACGGTGGCGGGGCCAAATATAAAGCTATTCTAGTTGCATTCGAGGTTTGGACACGGTTATGCCGTTTACCTGCCAGCCCATTCCTTAAGTTGCTTTCTGGTTTTGGAGCGGAGCGGAGCTGATGGACGGCATTTAATTAGGTCCTCTCGCGCCCCTTGTAGGTTGCCTAGAAATTTTTGTGGCAAAAATATAAGCATACATATATTTGTTCTCTTCTAATTATTTTGTATCAACTTTTAGTAATCAGATACTGAGAATTGTAAAAAAGATAATATGATCTTAATATCTCGAGATGATTAGCCGTTTCAAAGTTTTCTCATCCTGAATTAAGTTATAAGTTTTTAAATCGAATCAAATAAATTTGAGTTACACCCTAAAAGAAGGTAACATCATCTAGAAGAGGATGAATGAAAAGAATAATGTGGGAAACAACCAGGCAATCTACTATCATTAATTTGTGTCGAAAAAGTTTTCTACTAAAAAAACAAAACATGTAGCATGATTGAGTACTACGTCTCTTGTAATGGGAATCTTTAATTTTATAAAATTTACGATTCAATGGAATTATGGGTAATGATAAAAGATTGGAAAGTGACAGAATGCTATATTACGAAAAGAATATTTAGAAAAATGTCTACCTTCATATATAACGTCTAAATTCTCAGTCCAAGCACTTATAATTGGTTTATTCCACAGCCATCCATCCAATTCGTACACGAAATCTGCTGCTTTGACAAAAACACATATAACATCAATCTTAATTTACCTTTAATTAAAATAAAACTTTCAATTAATCATTTTTTAGTTTTAATGCACAAATTTTGCTATAATTTTAATTTGGTACAATCAATATCTATACATAAATATATTTGTTAAAAGTATTATTTAATACCACATTGAGTATTTTCGGATTCAATTATGTTTTGGACAATGACATTTGGTTGACTAAGCTAATATATGGAGCAGAAATGATCATCAGCTGCAAAGTTTGAATTTAAAAGGATTCGTTAAAGAAAATTAGAGGTAATGGGAAGACATATTGTCATTACAATAAAGATATAGTCCGTGATTCATTTGAAAACGTGCTATAGATTAAAGATGTTTTGGATATTCGATAATCATATAAATTAGGGTATTATGATCCCCAAACCTGCGCTCTCCAAATGGATTTCCCTTCTGGATTGGCGTTTCAAGACAACGGCAAGAACGGACCGCAAATTGCTTTGGCAAAGAATTACCTTCTTTTCTTTCCCACTTTTTTAAAATTAGATTCAATATTCTATTTACATCACTTCAATTTTTAACTATCTCAATTAATTTCAACAAAATGAAGAAAAAAAACTACAGAATTATGGATATCTCCCCAAGTTTGTTGAATTTCACCACTTCTGGTCTAGTACTTTTCCAGAAATGGCAGCAGCTAGTGCTGCTGTGAACTTTGGGTCCTTAGTCAAAGAAGCCGCCATTTGTTGAACTAAAATCTGTTGAATCACTGGTTGATCAACTTGTTGGGTAGGTTTTTTTGTATCATGATCCCATCCACCTGGTTTCATCAAGTCCAGAGTTACAACGGGAGCCGAAGATTTGGCGGGGGCAGAAGAAGAAACAGCAGCTGAACGAGGGTTGTTGGCTCCACCATTAATGGGGTTTAATGACGATAATGCATCCGGATAATGGTGTGCATGGTTGTGCTCTCCTTGATAAGTAGCCACCAAGATGGAGGGATCTTCAGCACTTCTCTGCACCTTCTTCTTCACCGGGCAACTCGGGGCGAAGGAGCACTTGAAGTATGCCCTGGGTGAGGGGTTATCTCTTGTGACCTTCTGACCATATTTTCTCCATTGATATCCATCTCTCACAATCTGTAACACAGACCGATTACAAGAATTTTTCAGAACAATTAATACTCGGAGGCTAATTAACATTATCCGGCGAGAAAAAATAAAAGTCTAGGGACTTACCAGGCTGTTATCAGAAGGATCTGTGCGTACGTAGGCTCTGGATATTTGGGCCTTACTGCACTCATTAAGCTTTTTGCATGAGTTTTCATCACTAGAGCTGCTCTCGGCGTTTGCAGTGAACCCAATCACGGTGCTACTGTTATCCTCACACTCGGCAGCTTTCCTCTTCTTTGAAGATGTTGCAGCAGCTTCACTTTCTGAGTTCTTGCTCACCAATTCCTTGTATTTGTTTTGCAAAGAGGTGTAGTGTTCGCATAAAACTGTTAGCATCTCGGTTAGCTTCTTGTTCTCGGCTCTAACCCGGTTCAATTCCTCCACCAAAACTCCAGTCTGTTAAATCCAAAATAAACAATCAGTATTGGAATATCTAGTGAAGACTTCCGATTTTAACCAACTTATCCACAAACTGACCTCTTCTTTAACTGGTACTTGGACATCAGAGGCGGCCATTTTCCCATCAGATTCTCTCTTCTGTTTCAAAAAAATTCAAAAGCTTTTATAAGCCCAATGATCTAAAGCAACAAAAACCAAATATTTTTTTCCTCACCCCAACTCACCAGAGCTTTGTTAGTACGATGAAAAGAGTTGATGTTGAGATCCAGGGTCGTATCCACCCAAGCTGATTCCATCACTGAAATTTACACTATACCACGAAAGAAAACAAGAAGCAGAGCAAGAAAAGAGCAGGTGAGCTGAGTGAGTCTGAAGGATTTGTGAAGAAAATAAGAGATTAATGCCCAGAAGCGAGGAATATGGGAATTATATATAGAGGAATTGGTTTAACCAGGAAAGTGAGTGGAAATGAGGCGACATCCCACTTGGAAATAGCCCGCTCACGTTGGCAACATGTCTACATTCATACAAACAAATAGTGGAATAAAAATAAAATTTGGTTTTCCGAGTAAAGAAATATTGAAATTCCAAAGGCGATGTCAAGGTCAAGAGTCAAAAGGTGAATCCCCCCAACGAGGAAGAGGACATAGATTTTGCACTTGGAATGACTAAAACAACTAAAGAAGGTTCGTCGTGTTGACCTTAATATGATCATGTCCACTTTCTCTCTATCAGCCCACCTCACCTCTTGCCCCTCTCTTTCCATGTTCTTTCATTTATTTATTTATTTCTAAACCACCGCAAAAATAATAAATTCTGATATTGACACGTTTTGTCAAGTGCCCAACGTGTTCTTTTACTTGATAATATTTTAAATTTCACTTCTATATATACTCAATTTTATTAGAGATAAATAAAATTTATTTATACAAAATACATTTATAAAAGTTTATTAAATAAATAAATATAAATGAACCGATAAATAATTTATATACATATTTATTCATCTTGTGTTCACTTTTTAAAATTATGTTTTATAATATATATATGAGTTAGGATCCACTTACCCATTGTAAAACTTTTAGTTTTACATAGATTTAGGATAGTTAGATGAGTGAAAATAGATGGCTAGAATTGACTCCTTATTTTTTTCGATGAATAACTTTTCATTTCCTACTGTTAATTTCAATCATCTATTTTCACTTATCCAACGATTCTAAATCTATGTAAAACTAAAAGATTTTTACATTGTGTAACAGAATCCTATCCCTGTATATATATCAAGGTTTACCTTCTCTTTTTTTTACAGGGATGATCGCTATTTATAATCTGTTTCCACCTCTTGAAATTTTATAAATTTACTCATTTCCAGAATTTTCAAATTCTCTTATATTTTAGATTTTTTTGTGCATTTTCTATTGATAGTCTGTTTTCGCCTCTTGAAAATTTATAAATTTGCTCCCTTCTAGAAATTTAAATTTTTGTCTCCTAATATAAAATATTGTGTCCATCCATACTTTCCATCTATACGTAATATGTTTCCATATCATCGAATTTTCTCATTTTGTAAGTTTTCTTCAATTGTATTGATCTAAGTGGTTAAGAGACTCGATATTCTCCCTAAAAGTTACGGGTTCGAACACCGACAGGGTTATGAGTGTTCATAGTTAATTGGTTGAGAGTTTTTGAACATATATTACATTGTATTTACCCATATATATAAAAAAACCTTTTGTTTTGATGAATTTTGTCAATGATAACTCATTATATTTATTTTACTATTTGAGTTTTTTTTAAGTTTATATGTTATTAATTATGTATCTCAATAAAATTGATCAAATTTCATTATATATAATATGCTTTATTTTATTTTTGATGAAAATTCAAATCGTAAAATCACGTTCAGAGCTTAATTAGTTCTAATTTTATGAAAATTTTCAATTAAAAATTATTACATCTGTCATTGATTTATATTATCTGCTGGTACATGGACTAATAGTTGTTGTTTTCTCTTTACTTTTTAGTGTAATAACAAATGGGAAGCGAATGAAAGGTTGTTTGTTCGTTCAAGTACTTTTAAAAGAAGATTTTTTTTTTCGTTTCATTGAGGATTAAGGGGAAGAGAAAAAACTTCGATTATTTAAGACGAAACAGGGTTAAATGAAGGAACATATTCCTTGAATGTTTTTTTTGGATTTAGATATTTCTTGAATCTAGATAATAGCGATTGAAATTTCGACCCGTCTTTCCCGTTGCCATCCTTAAATTCTCTACTCTAGTGGTTTATCTTTTTTTTAATTAATCATTGGTATCCGATCTATTGACCGACTAATCCAGATCGAATACTGTAGAGGTGAGAGCGACCCTCCCAACCCAATTTATTCCATTCACAAACGCCATAATTCAAACATCTGACCTTGCATAAGTGATCTATTGCTTCATTCCACTAGACCAACTGTTTGTTGGTGGTTTATCTTTAATTACGCTATGGTATATTGGTAATCATCACGTGGAAAATAATGGTTAATGCAATAAACAATGAGGGATTAAGAATACAAATATAAACAAGATAAGATACCCTTAGTTGGTAAGACCTACTCTAGTTTATCCGGTTTGAATTATATAATTAACAGCACGAACGCACGATTTATACACGTTTCCAAAATAAATAAAATGCTTGAAATGGTGAATGTAAGAAAATATCAATATTAAGACTAATCATTGAGTTTAATTGTTCATCTTCCCAAAACTTATTACAAACTCAATTGCGGAATTAACTTATTTTTTTTATGTAAGCATACCATACTTGTCATAATCATTTTTTTAAAAAACAATTAAGTATTATTTTAAAAAACGATTATGATTTTTATTTTGAAAAAATTAGTGATTTTGCAATTAATTTGAATTAAATTGAAAAGGAGTCGCCATCAACCTTTGTGTTAGGTAGGTCGAATAACTAAAAACGTCTTTTAAAACAATTTTAAGAAAAAATCATTTTTTAAGAAAAATTCTGTCTG